AAGCAAAGTTACTTGAAAGAAGGGACTGCATGTATATTCATATGGTAAAAGAACATCCCAGCCAAGAAAAAATTATATTTTTTGTAAGTTTCAGACTTCACTATAATACCATTCAATACCAAGACAATAGAACATTTTTACCAAGTTCTGAAAGGAAAAAAAAAAAAAAAAAAAAAGAAGTGTGAGAGTAATTTAATACCTGGCCTCTCCTCCTGTTCAGTGGACAGACATTGTCACGTACACAAGGCTAGAACCAGCTCAGCCTGAGAAGTAATCCACGCTTGTGTTTCACTTTAGAAATGAACATTAGCTTAAGATATTTTAAACGTTTCACATCATGGAAACTCAGTTGGAATATAGAAGATAAAACAGAATGTCTTTTTTAAACCTACCATTTAATCAAAACATATGGAGCAACGGAAAGCGTGATGCTTAATAATAATTAAATGAGACTCTGCATAAAGTAGCTAATTAGCGCCAGGTGCAGGAAACATTAAGAGCTCTCAGGCGGGAGATGATTACCTCAGGTCATGGGGTAACAGCTTGTCCAAAGAAAAGGGATGCAAGAAATAAAAGTCTAGGTCTCCTTTCAAGGTACACTTAGAACATCTTTTGCAAAAAGTGCATCCAAACATGAAAAGGTTCATACAAAATACCTTTTAAGTTTTCTGATTTAAAAAAAACTGTGATAGTTCCAATATCAAATTATGTACAGCACATTATATTTTCCAAATTTCAAGTTGGGGTGGGAGATGGGGGCATCAAAATATCTGTTACATTATTCTTTAAGTAACGTCAGATTTACAGTTCATCTTGAATGAATTTTCCAATCACAAACCTTTTTTTTTTTTTTTGACTTCTTGGTGGTCTCAGAATAAACTGCTTTCAAACATGCTTTAACAAAACTTTGCTTCAACTCATAAAATGGAACTTTCTAAAATGGCATATTTAATTACCGTGGTTAAGGCGTTGAAATATTAAAAAAAAAATGTCCCTATAGATTTCTGTCTAGAGTAGTGGCTGCTGCTTTTAAAAAATAATTTTTAAATGGTGAATTTTGCCAAAAAAATGTGTACTTCTTATTACTTCTAAATTCTTGTGTGGCCAATTCCATTCTTCCATCAAAAGGAAACATGCTTTCGGGTCACTAAGTTAGAAAATACTTGGAAGTTTCCACCAAGTTGTGTGTCGTCAGTTTGTTGTTGCTATTTTAAACAAGTTTCACGTGAAGTACTGGGCTTTCAGTTTCATCCTCCAGGCAACCAGCATCCAGCATATGGTACACACGTTACCAAACGGGGCAGGACAGCTTCCTAAGCAAGGCAGCTGGTAGATTTGACAGTTCCTTTCCAAATTACTCATCATGTTTTGAGTTGCTGCTAGGAAAAAATGTGTTGCCCATCTCCAAAATAGATGTTCTTTTTTATTTTTAAGCTCGGGAGAGGCTTCCAATAAAAAAATAAGACAGATGGGTATAGGAAGCAAGATATTTATCCCTATTTAGACCATTTTCTTCTGTCAGTTTCCTCATCAGAAGAGTTTTCCAAATAAACAAATGAATATTTCAGCATTCATAGTTAACTACGTCCTACGATGTACTTTTCTTTTCGTATAAAGAATGCCTTTGGAATAGTAAAACATCAAAACCACAGAAAGGGCTTGCGGAGTTTTAATTATTAAAGTGATAGTTGCCCAGATTTTGTGGCAGCCGGCAAATATGAACATTAGATTAAAGAGCTCGTTTGGACCCATTGGTGACGTTGCAGATGCACAAGTGAAATCCGTAAAACGCTTTCCTCAATTGGCAAGTATGTGAACGTCTGCCTTCAGTAATACCTCCCACACTGGGGCGTCCTCTAAGTTCACCTAGGGGAAAACTCTAAATACAGGCCAGAGGAGTTTATTCCAACTGCGACTGCATAGAGTTGCAAATTTTTTAACGCAAATGCATCGCATAAGAGTCATCCATTTAGACAAAATTCTCAGTTTGGGGGTTTGTAATGATTTCTAACGGGGGCTTTCTACACAGACCATCAAAAAGTTTCATCCAGTGAGTAACGTAGTGATGGTTCCTGAATCTCTAAGTATTCCAGAATCCGCAACGATTTCTAATTTTCATTCAAAAACTCTAGACACAAACTATGCTGGGAATTTTCTCTAAATGTTATATACTTGGTACATATTTCTTCACCTAATTTATATTGGAACTAAAAGCTGGTTTTTCTCCCCTTTCTGTGGTCTCTACCTTGCAGAGTACCCTTTATGCTATTGCTAAGAGCTTCAAAGTTGAAAAACATGCTTTTTAGTGCATTAACAAATATAAATAATAATGTAATTTTTCTACAATTTTAATATGTAATCATTATTTTACTTGACTTATACTTTCTGATCATACAATAAATGTTCAGATATCTATGTTCTTGAATTAAAATTGATGTAAGAAGTAGATACAAAAAAATGAGGTTAATTGCCTTATTATGTCTCTTTTTTGGTAATCCAATTAAAACATATCGAACACTCAGTTTTAAAAATTAATAGTAGTTGTCAAGTTTAAAGTACAGTTCTTTATATTTCTGAACATTGTCATAAGTCATCTGAGATAGATTTATGAAATGACAGACTTCCCCAGAATAAAGTACAATGTGTCAAGAAGCTATTCTTTAGTTCCAGTCCAATGGGGATTTAAGAAATCATTTCAAACAGGAATAAAAAATGGAAATAACTTTTGAAACATCTTGCAGATGACAGATATGTCTCAATACTTTGTGTATATCACAGTTTGAAATCAACGTACTTTTTCCTATGTTTAAAGATTTTAAATATATTGGAAATTATTAACATACTATTTATTCTATGTTTTGAAACTTTGTGAGATAATATAAATCAAGTGGTCATGGTATATTGGAATGAGGTTTCTGTGTATAAAGATCTGCAATTTAAATGTGATTGTTCCTTTTCATTTGAAAAGTCATGAGCTTATAAGTACAACTGCCGCCAATGCAAAACCAACCTGTATTTTCAAACACCTACTGTCATCCTTTCTATTGAGAAATGCTGTCAATCATTCATCTATCTTCATATCTCCTATAAATACTGCAACACTTAATATCGTTAAAAAACTTCTAAACAAGGTTGCAAAGTTTTTGTATTCCATAGTCATCTGAAAAGGGGTCAGATCATTCTCAATCTTTCCACTTAATACATTTTATTATATATATAATCTATAACATTGTTATATATAATTTATATATAAATGTTCCCACTTATTTTATTTTACTTTATGTAATAACATGCTTTCTTATTTGACACATAAATGAGTGAATTTCTGAACCTGAAAACTAGCTCACACATGTTGAGAAAAAGAAATCTGACAGAGTGGTCATGTAGTTTACCATCAGCTCTTTCTTTGTCTATTGCTGCATCATCTTATTCTTTCTCATTCTTTTCTTAATTTTGCATGTAATTCAAAAGACACATAAAATTACCATTAATAGGAATCCTTACAAATACAAGAAAATAAGGCTTAAAAACGATTACAATATGTCCTTCAATTTTCAAACTTCAGTTATACAAACCACAACTGATTTCCTCATTGTTTCAAAAAACATCCCACAGCTTATGTTTCAATTAATTGTGAGCCATAGCTTTATTTCAAAAATATTAAAATGTGAAGTAATGTCTCAGAAACTAGGCATACGATCGCTACCAACATTGGCAGACAAAATGCCTTTTACGTATAAAATAAATCATAAACTCAGTCCCCTCCGGCAACAGCTTTGATAAGTCAGTATTATTCTCTCCATTTTATAGAGGACGTCACTGAGGATAAGGGATATTAAATTACTAATCAAAAGGGAGTATTGCTCAGAAACACCAGATCAGAAAGTCAGATTGGGAAACCAAAGTATATTTACCGTGTTTGCTGACGATGTGAAAACATACTGTCTAACAATAAAGTCCATGACTGTTTCAACCAAAGGGGGAAAAATGTGTGAGTCTGAACCAACATATCTATCAAGTGTCAATAATGTCAAGCCAGCACATTAAGAAAGCTTTTGAAGCTAGATGGACAATTTATAAAGCCCTCAAAATTGAATAAGTTGTTATTAAAGCATCTTTTGGTATATTGAAGAAGCAGTGTACTAAATTTGTTCACTCTTTCATCCATCCGTTTATGCATCCATCTATTCATTTACATGTAACACAATTACCAAATTTTATTTAAACATAGTTATTGGTGGATTAAACTAAAGCTTAAAAGAGATGCAGAAAGCTTATTAAGTCAATGAATTGAAATATTTTATCTTCCAAATGTTTACAAATAATTACCACTTAAATATCTGCAAAAGCAAGCTGTTAACTTACTTTAATTTCACAAAGCCAAATGAAAAATAAGATATATTAACACCACAAACACTAACTTTTCATGCCAAAGAACACAGTTCCACTCTCCCTCCCCCACTTAGGGTAAGCATGTACTTAAAGCATTTTACTTAATTTTGTTTAAATAGGCATGCAGGCAATACATATGCAGCAGTTAAAAATATCCCTAAAATACTGGGACTCTGCATAACTTAAAAGAAATGTGTAAAGTCATAGAACTTTTTAATTTAATTCATAACTTTTTATCTTAACATCAAACATAACTAATAATTTATTATTTTATACATACAAAAAAGGATAGTGATGCTTTCTTATTGTATCCTGATACAATATATTTTTCTCCTATAAGAAAAGCTAGCAGTCCATAAACATAAATCATTCATTTATTCTCTTACATAAAAATTGTTACCTACTTAGTTCTACGTAGCAAAAGTCACTACAAAATTGTTTATCAATGTGATTAAAAAAAAACAGGAGAAACTTTTAGAGCAGACAGTCTCAAGTATTATTTTAACATGGGTAAAATAAATATATTCCACTCTGTCAAATCTTACTACGCATGAGTTATGAAGCACTGTGCAAAGCCATGCTTAGTGGATAGAAGGATGGCTACTTACCAACAGGGCGAGCTGTAGACATTACAATGGTGTGGTGAGAACATAAAAAAGAAATTAAAAAAAAAGAAAGAAAAATTATCAGAATGCATGATGTGTAATGTTACATTTAAGTATGGACAATAGAGTGATTTCTATTCTCACAATTCAAGTATGACCAAGATGTCTGGGTCTGATAAAATTGAGCGTTATAAATATAATTCTAGGAAAATAATTACTTTGACTCCGAGGACTGACTATAAGCAATTTGAGAGATATTTTAGGTAAAGTCTTATCATCATCACTTACTATAGTTATTATTTCAAAGATCTTGAGTTAAACAGCCTTGTGTTACCCCAAAGTTAAAAACCTGATGAATATCACTATTCAAGTCACAGACTAGCAAATGTCATGTCAATAAAAGAAGCCCTCGCTGTCTGATTTAAATAGCAATTGGATTTTAAGCATGGTTAGTCAGAACCATTACAAGGACTGCAGAAAAGCCCCTGACGCTGCTTTTCAGTCAGGAATAAGTTAAGATCACATCACTTTTCATCCATGGACAGGGCGGATGAAAATATAACAAATAGGTTGGAACATCCTTAGAGATTTCAACTCAGTAGCTCCCTAACTACTGTTAAGCTTTTTCCTTCTTTTGGCAGAGGGCAGGGAACAATGACTGACAAGTTGATTCTTGTTCACACTGAGAACGGCTTTCAAACTGCTGCTTCAACAAATTATCATTTTTTTATTATACCATAACTTTCAATCACTAAAATCAGTGGTAATAGGCCGCCCCTGTTATTAATGCAAAGAAATTGTAAGAGATACACATGGGCTTCATAATCCTTTCCTTAAAAAGAATAACACTCTATGAGTTTAGGTGGTAAACCATTTTATGCAAAAGCAATAGACAAATATTGTAAAACACGTGATCCCGTTATCCAAATGAAGAAACAATATGCTGAGTAGTATAAGAAATTTCATGAAATCTGATATTAAAAACAGAACTTTTTCAACAGTGGTTCGCCCATATCTCAGTAGATACAGTTCTAGCGCATATGTAATGTGACTGTGGAACGTCTCAATGGTTTTGTGTTGATGATGGCTCTCTGGGCAAGATAGGAACCACCACTGAACACGTATTTACACATATTCACTTAACGGATACATCATAATACCAGCTCTGTGCAATCCATAAACATAAAACGTAGCTGTCTCTATGACAGCCATGGTCTCACAATATTGTTCACAATTAAAGCAGGAAAGATTCAGACAATAGGCAATAAGGCAATTGTAGCAGTGGTATGAAAAGCCTGGTGTAGTGGAACCCTAATGTGTCCTAACATATATGGCGTGTTTGCTATAGCTAGAGGAAAAGAGGAGTAAGTTACCCAGTGTACCATAATTTCTTTCTTTTTGCAGGGGAGTGGGGAGCAGAATACAAGATTAACTATCAAAAAGAGATGACAGACTAACCATGTGAAGTTGTGGCTTATTCTAACAGATGAAGTTTCTCTTAATTTTGCTCTGGCGAAATGTCCAGTAGAAAAAGAACTTTTGTTCTTCATCTTTGAATTTGCACTTTTCAGCTTGCCATCTCAAGCTGAATTTCAAACATAATGTTTCCCTTAGAAATGAAAAGGCGTTTTGAGTGTAGGATATTAACAAAAGAAAAAAAAAAGAAACTGTGGTGAGAAATCATGTTTTAAATGAATAAAATATATGTCTATCTTATTTTAGGATAGAATAATTCCAACACATTAAGGCTTTATTGCTCTAGAAACAGTATTATTCTTCCAATGAGATCTTTATGCAAAGCAAATTTAAAAATTTAAAAATAGGAAAAATGTGCTTGCAAATATGCAGTTTGTGTTGTCATTTTTAAGCCATTTAAAAAGTTTTATTAGTAATAAATTATTTGATTAGAATGAAAAGTCTAATCAAGGAGGTCTGTTGTTGACTGGCTTCATTTCTTCCTAATTTTACATTTGCCAAGTCAGCAAAGGGAGCTTCTTGATGTTCAGCCTCACTTTATAGTTTTTTTTTAAACCATATTTTTGAAATGGGAAACAACTGAGTAGATCTGTTTCAAATTTTGACAATTAACTCCCTTACATTTTCCCCAACTGGCTAATGTGAATGTTACGATAAAGTTTTAGCAGAAACATCACAATACATTTTTTTGTCCTTGTTACATTAGCAACATTTTATCCAGAAAAAAACCAGCAGGTGGATGTTTTCAAAATCAGCAAATTAAACTAAACTGTGTCTCTGCATTAAATGGATGAAAATGGACATGGCCTCTTGGGTCAGTTGACCCTGTTCTAATAAAACAATCCAAAGAAAGGCTGCACATTTCATTTATGTGCATAGAAAAATTAGCAAAGAAAAAAAATAAGTCATAGATAACAGTGTTGTCTTTTTTTTCCTGTTAATCTCTTAGCATGAGAAAACCCAAATGCTTTTCCTAATGGTAAAAAATAAATGTTTTTAAACAGTATTTTACTCTATATTATATTGTGTTAAGGAGATCTTTTTTAAACACAGTTTTTGAGGTTTCAGTCTTAGAGAGGTGATAAATACCTACCACAAAGAATAAACACTCTAATCCATCTACAGGATACAGATTGGGGAGAGGCCATTTAAGGTTTGCTGATTTAAAAAAAAAAAAAAACCCTACTGAAAACAAACAATGTTTTCTATTAGTTTGGTAAGTTAGCTTCAGACATCCCCACAAAAGGAGCATGCTTTGTTAAATGAAATGTTAAGCCTGAAACTTTCAGCAAATTATGAAAACAATTAGCTGGGAAAGGTCTTAAGGCAAACAGACCACTTCAAGTCTCACTCGCCCAAGCATTCCAGCATAGAAGCAGCCCTGCCGCTTCTACCAACAAACAACTCCTCACGTTTTCTCACCATTCGTTTAGTCAGCAAATAGTTTTCTAGTGGGACGTTTATTGGCTGGTTGTTTATTATTGTTTTCCATTTACTTCAGGAAAAAAAAGGAAAACAAAACTTTGGGGATACTTTGGTCTAGTGAATTGTTTTTGCAATAAGCTGCCCAGCAAACATACGACAAACGTATGAAGTCATCCACGCAGAGTGTGGGTTAAATCAAGTGTGTTCATTGCCTTACAAAGGTTATCAGATTTTCATCCTACATAATCCATATATATATCTATATATTCAATTCATATATGATCATAGTCCTTTATGACCTGTGAAGTAATGAAGAGTGAAAATGTTTTTATGCAACTAGCTGTCAATTCTATCTAATATGTTTTGTATCTAAATTCACACTAGAATGTCTAGAGGAAAAAAAATGGATTAGATGAAAAAAGGATGGAGCAATTGAGCAGCATGAAAAGCACCAACATTTTTCCAGGTGTGCAAAGTGCCTGTCCCCTCATAACAACCTGGAGGTAACTGAGTTTTTCATGATTTGAAGCCTAAATCATAAATCTGGCAAAAACCCTTATTCTTACCACACAAAAAGCTAACCTGAGGATCCCTGATACCTTTCCTGCAACTTCCAGCTTCTCCAAACCTTTCTCCTAACCTTCTGAAACCTTCTGGGAGCAAAGCTGCACAAGGGTCTGAGGTATGACTAAGTGGGGTGAGATGTAACTGAGACTTGGAAGAAAGCATGCAGCCAATCGCTTTACAACGAAGGATGAGAGAAGGAGGCACAGTTAGTAGGGGGAGAAAGGATGTGCTCGCCTATCTTTGTTTGATTTTCTCTGAGTGTGAATGATGCCATGGGTAATGTCTATTTCAAGAGTAAGTGTTAAGTGTCCACTTGGTACTACTTGGTACCTTGGACTATATAATTTACCTCCCGTGATCAACAAGTTCCACTGAAAAGACAGTTAATTTATTCTAGTGCACTGTAAAGTTAAGCAATGCTTTCTTTCACTTAAAAGCAATTCCAGTGAGTCTATAAGTGAACATTATTCCATGGCTGAGGAAGTGCATGACACTCAGAAGGTGAAAGTTATTACTAGAGCAGCACTGACTATTTCAATTATTTAAGGCTACTGAACTTCACAAATCAGTCTCTACATCAGATTATCTCAAGTCTGGAGAGTGCCTCTGTATTCATTTTCACCTTTGGAAGCATTGTTAGTTTTCTCAGATTGCTATTTTGAATGCCGACATTAAAAAGAACTTCAAAACAGTATGCTACTAGTACAAAGTGACAAAGTGACAAACTAGTAAACAGAAAACATGAGAGTACCTTCGAAACTGATGACATTTAAAAGCAGTCAGTAGCTGAAAGCAACGGAAATGGAAAGAGTAGTATAGATCTTTTCGGTTTTTAAGATTTACTTTTAAGTCATATAAACTATTAACTTTAAACCATATAAGCAATTTACTAAATAAGAATTAATACTTTTAAGTTACCATCACGTGGAACCAAATAATGAAAATAATTTTATTTCAATTAATGACAGAGAGGACACAAAATCTAGGCATTTTAGTACAACAAAACAGCATAATTCACTATTTTGATTGTAAGTTCACTTACCAATTTAACCAAATACTAGTGTCCTGGTTCAATTATCTTTGACATCTTAAATCTCTTACCTCGGACGGTGAGCGTAGCAGAGGCTTCCATTTTTCCAACCCGATTCTCAGCAATGCACATATAGGTGCCTTCATCTGTACTCATGGTCTTTTTAATTCTTAGTGTGTAATCATCTTTGATGTCATACCTGTGTAGAATATGAACTGGTTTTATTAGATAGTATTCGCTATATGGATAATAACATGAAGTAATCATCTTCCTTTTTCTTTTTAAACTGTATGTTACCTAAACACAAATACATACACACACAAATCAGCCATAAAGTGTAATTACTTAGATTAAAGGTATTGCTAATAAAATCAATTTCATATCTAATCTTCAGCTGCTTGTCAGTTACCTATACTTCACATACGTATACAATTCTTTCCACTGCACAACTATCAAAGGCATAATTAGCACTTTGACCTTTATGTGGTAGCTCTTGACTACTAAAGAAGATAGACACAATCTCAGTTTCTTGGTGAGTTATATTTCACTAGTTTGTTAGTCACGCTGTGTTCAATAATACAATTTATTTTTAGGCACCTTGGATATTAGAGAGCTGAAATATGTTAAAGAACAAAATTTTTCTCTTATTTGTTGGCAAATCGACAAAATGGGCATTAGGTAAAAGAATTAAGGGTGTGTAATCAATTTTTAAATAAGGAATATTAACACCTGAAACATCAGCATGCCTTGGAGTGATTTTTGGAAATGCACATACTCAGCTTGTTCACGTGCATTTATGGTTTTACCTCCACTTCATTCATGAAGCAGACCAACAAAGTGGGTCAGAAAACATAACACCAAAAATTTGGGAGTACTTGCATGAGAATATATTCTTATTTAATTCTAAGAAATTATAATTACACAAACTAAATAATCCAGCTATCATTTTTTTCACATGTGACATTTCCTCCTGATATTTACCAGTGGTTTTTATTTCAAACACACATTTTGCAATAGTTTCTGGTTGGCCACCTTGCTTCTCTTCCTCATATATACCACAGTTAGATCCATGTTTCCAAAATATCATTTTAATTGGTCCTGTCTGCTCAAAACTAGCTGTGATTTCCTATTGTTTTCAGGACAAACACAAACATTCTAGGCTTGCATTTAAAACGACCATAACCAGATGTCTTCTACTTCTAGCTTTAGCTAGAAGAATAACCCAGCTTAACTTTATTAGAGGCTAAGGCATGAATTAATATAGTCCTAATTTATAGACCTTGGCATGACAAAAAGCACTGTCTATATACCAATCATGCCAACTAAACTTAACTACCCTTACTCTTCCATCCTTTAATTATCATGGTTACTTTTCTGTCTGCGTGCTTTGCCTTAAAATTCTGCTTATTAAATATGTCATAAGTGGTTAGGGAAATAGCTTATCCACTACTTTCTTATCCACTCCCTTCATTGTGAAGCCATCCATTACCATACTATAAAAATCTAATTACTCCCTTTTTGAAAACTTACTGCTGCAGCAATAATTCTGCACTTAGTTACATTTTGTATTGTTATCTATTTTGATGAAGGCAGAGATCTTGTCTGCTTCACTCACCGCAATATCCATACTCCAAATATAGAGTTTTTAATATCCAGTAGCATAATCAAATGGTTAAGAGCACAGGCTCAGGAGCAAAACAGCCAGAGTTGTACTCATGGACTTGGCTTCTTCATATGCTTGCAAGGGTTGACAGTATACTTACATTTTCTGGGTCTCTATTTCCTCATTAGCAAAATAAGTGCTAAAGATAACATCTATTTCATGGAGTGAGTGTGAGCTTTAAATGACATATAAAGTACTTAAAACAGGCACACAAAAAGCACAATACATGTTCGCTATTATTATTCCACCTACTAGGTGCTCAAGAAACACTAGTGGTGAATACATGATAAATATCTTGTTTCCTGCTGATATAAAGGCCAACTGTGAATGGCTTCAAGACTCCAAATGACTTTACCCATGTATTTATAGTCAAGAGCAATCCTAGGCTAAAATGCATAAAAGAGTATAATACAGATAAACACTTTCTGCTTCACTTTGCCAGTAAAAATGTGAGAAAAACAATTATTTTGATAATGGCTTCAGAAAAGTTACTGGTGATGTATTTAATGTCTAATAAAAATAATCGTTTCTACAGTTAGCCTATGTACTGCATGACATGCTTAGCTGTAAGATAGAATCATTTAAACACTGTATTTTGCAGACATTTCCAATTCATCTAAAAAATTGAATTCTTGACTACTGTTTAAGCTATTTATTCTTGTTGTGTGACTTTCAGAAGTCTCTACATTGTCCTATAGCTGAGCTTTTTCAAGAGCTAAAAGAGGGGAGATAAACTTAATGGTCTACAAAGTTTTCTCTGGATCAATACATATGTGAAGCCATGATTCCAAGTCAATAAAAGATATCTACATTGTGCATTATTTCTGATTTGTCATTGAAAAAAAATTGTATGTTACCTCAGTTAAAAAAAAATGATTGCACACATTGTACAGAGTATCCTCAAAACCTTTTTCTGAATTAGAAATTGTCATTTTATAGATAAGAAAACTGACACCTAGGCAAATAAAATGACCTCCTCAAAGTCATGTTATTAATAAATAGAAAACCCAGAATTAAAACCCTGACTCTGAATGTGTCACTTTCTCATTCTATGTGTACTTATCTGCAAGTAAATAGTTTAATTTCAAAATGCTAACTTAACACAGTAAGACATATAACTATGTAATGTGCACAGAAAAATAATTTCATATTCAGCAAATATTTAGTTATAGCGTATGACAAAATTTTACTTCACTTTAGAGACATTCATTACAGAGAAGACAACATGGAAACTAAATAAAATGTAAAAGTTATCTCCCGCTTTCTGCTTTAGTTAAAAAAAAAATGTGTTTATTCTAATCACCAGAAAACTGCAAATCAAAACCACAATGAGATACTATCTCACACCAGTCAGAATGGCTACTATTAAAAAGTCAAAAAATAGCACATGCTGATGATGCTGTGGAAAAAAGAGAATGCTTACACACTGCTGGTGAGAATGTAAATTAGTTCAGACACTGGGGAAAGCAGTTTGGAGATTTCTCAAACAACTTGAAACAGAGCTACCATTTGACTCAGTAATCCAATTATCGTGTACATAGCCAAAAGAAAATAAATAGTTTCACCAAAAAACCCCCACAAGCACTTGCATATTTATTGCAGCACTATTCATAATAGCAAAGATATGGAATCAACCTTGGTGCCCATCAACAGTGGACTGAAAAAGGAAAATGTGGTGCATATATACCATGGAATACTACACAGTCATAAAAAAGAAGGAAATCGTGTTCTCACTTCTAAGTGGAAGCTGAAAATTGGGTACACATGGATATAAAGATGGAAGAATGGACACTGGGGACTCCTAGAGGAAAGAGAGACGGAGGGGTCAAGGGCTGGAAAACTATCCGCTGGGTAGTATGCTCTCTTCCTGGGTGATGACACAATTTGTACCCCAAACCTCACTGTCACACAATATACCCATGTAACAAACCTGTACATGTACCTCCAAATCTAAAATAAAGGTTGAAATTTTAAAAAAAATTAAAAGTGTTTATTTAAAAATTACAAAATACATAGTATTTGAACCCAAACATAGCCTGAAATCTGACTTCCTGAGTTTTTTTTTTTATCATTTTAAAGGAAGGTGGAAACAAGAATAGGAATGAGATTTTGTTTGTTTGTTTTTTAATTAATGGTACGTTGATTGGGGATACAAGTAATTGTGCATTCTATGATTGCATATTACCTTCCTTGTGAAAAGTTAACATTAACTATTACTTGGGAAGAATAAAATGAATTAGTCTTAACAACTAATAAAAGAGATGACCTTTCAAAGAGACTGTGCCATTAAAATCAAACAGCAAATCTATTTTTTTTCTACCTATACAACAGGTTTTCAGATATAGATTGTAAAACTGTGGCCAAGGCCAATAGTCTGGTGACATGGCCCAGGTTTGTTAGAAAACGTGTAAGTACAGAAGGTAACTAAATCCATTTCCAGTGAGACAGGGATGTGTTGGAGTAAAAAGAAGTTTTGGGTAATAGTTTTTAACGGTCTTGCATATCACAGTGCCCAGCATAGTTCGTAGGAATTAGTAGATGCTCTTCAACATTGCCATCTTTTCATTTCCCTTGATGATCACTGACGTTTGAAAAGATTATAATAAACATTCCATTATTTTATTCAAGACATGCTGATGACACATCTATGCATTGCATCCAAATTTGGGGATACATGACATGATAGGATTCAGAGCCTAGTGAAATGATGTCTGACTCCACATTGGGGTAGATCAGAACTATCTCCGAGGCTCTCTCCAGCTAACACACATTTCCTGGGGCCGTGTCTTGTCTTTCTCCAATTAAAAGTAAAAGCTACAATGCATATCTTGCTATGTCCCATCACACTGGGATGTTGTAATTTAAAAACAAACAGGCTTCGAGTACTTAGTTATTGAAATGCTCACAATCTTTTAAATTCTCATTTCTCACTGAATCTTTGCCTGAGGAAAGACTGCAAATATTATCAGCGGTTTATATGATGTATTTATATCAGAATACTTTGAATACATATAAAGGGATTGACTCGCTAGGCTAAATGAAACCTTTAAAAGTTCACTTTCTGCAACCGTCCCTCAACACTTGAATCCTATCTGCAACATGCAACCAATCAGTCCTCCAGCTTGTTTCTATGACAAGTGGTCTACTCCATCTTTGAACATCTCTATTAGAAGATCTTCTATGTATGATAACATAAAACATTTCTTCCCAAAGTTACTACTAACAGTACTACTCCTTGTGCCAAACAGAAAAGTATACTCTCTCTCCTACAAGAGAGCTTTTTCAATTTTGGGTCTCTTATGAATTATCTCATCTTCAGGTCAACTCTTCCTAACAGCAGCAACCATATACTGTACAATAATCCCCCTTTATTCAGATGGAATATGTTCCACGACTCCTAGTAGATGCCTGAAACCACAGATGGTACTGAACTACAAATACACTACACGAGACAGTCAATCTGATAACCAAGAGGGCTCCTAAGTGACTAACTGGTAGGTAGTGTGCATAGCGTGGATACGCTGGACAAAGGGATG